AATGTAGCTGTGTAAAGTTCAAATATCTGCTCAATTTATCAAGACATCACATATTTGCAAAAATGCTCCAACGTTTTCAGAGACGTCCATTTTTTTCATGCTTTGTGGCAGCTTTTGAACATCTATGGCATCTATTAATGTCAAATCTAGACTTTATTTAACAACATAAGCAAATTCTATGTTACAATAATCGCACAGCCATTAAGGATCAAATCAGTTTCTAAAAAATGTTCTGTTTTTTCTCCCTCTGCTTGCTTCTTACTGTCTTTGAGGCTCGGGACCAGCACTCCTGCTGTTGGACAGAAAGACATCAACTCAGTGGTAAGTATTTTGGTTTTCCAATATATTAGCAACTGTCAGTGACATTTATATTAATCAGGCTGAAATTTAATCATACTTTAGATCAGCCTGTTTTACTTATTGTTTTATTTGTGCTTTGGTTTGGGGAAGTTGTTTCTGCACTGATCTTTTCCTGTCTTCTGTTATTAGACTTGATATATGACTGCACTATGCTGTTGCTGGTGACTCTAGTTAATTCTACAAGACATGCTGTGTAAGTAAACAAACAACAACAGTTTGGTCTGCATTTCTTGAAAGATCACATCCCCCAAACTTAGTTTAGAGGGTCTACACTGTATATAGTGAAGTCTGCAAGTTTTCTAACAGCAACATTTGTTTTGTGCCCAAATCATTTTGCATATCATTAGAATGAAAGTTATTGGCCATGTTTGCATAGCCCTTTTTAAAATGATGCTTTCATGACATTATTGTGTGTTGGGTGGTGGTCACGGCTATCCAGACTGACAAGTGGGGCATTGAATGTCACCTCTCCGGTGGGGAGGGGGCCTGAGATTGTCTAAATTGGAGTCTGTTTTATGCCAAATGCAGAAAAAGATGTTTTAAGAAAGCAATTAAGTTCATGTTCCAAAAAATATGATTGTTTGCTTGCAGGACAACAGGAGAGATGAGTCCTCCGTCACAGATGGTGTGGTCAGTGAAGATGGTCCCCTGCAGGTTCAAGCTCATTGCATCTCCAACCCACATCCACTGCCACTGTACTTAAGGGAAGTTAAAGACTTTCTTCTGCACCTACATTTGGATCACCTCGATCCATGACAGTCATTCAGGCAGTAATGCCTGGACTGGAAACAAGCCATCCTTAAAATAATACAACATTCCAGCTCCTGTGTTGGAATGAAAAACAAATGTGTTGTTTACATTAGAGACTGCACTTGTGACAGAACAACAAATATTTTATTTTGATTATATAAGTAATGTAAGTACAAAACAAACTTGTGGTAGGCCTAAACTTATTTTCAGAATAATTACATCTGAGACTTTGTTTCATTGTGAGATTATAACAGTGATGGCAATATAAATATTTGTTGTTCAGCAGAACAGTGTCCAGTATGTTGGCTGTTATACTAAAAGTTGGGCTGATTTTAACATCATTACAAAAAGTGTTGTTAATTATTTTTAATCACATTCAGGTTACCACAAATTGTTTTTTCATTTAGTTGAACTTGAAATGTTTGTCAGTAAGTAAACAATTAGTACTGTACAGTCAGAAATATCAAGTTATTCTTAATACTGCAGACTTGCAATGTATAAGTTGTCCTAACAGTCATCTTAAGTAAGCGTTACTTCGTTTTTTTGAGGCAACGAGTTTCCTTAATTTTTTTGGGTTCTGGGAACTAACAAGGCTGTACAGTGTACTCAAAATGAGTAAGTTACCCTAACTTGGTCATCTTACGTAAACTTGATCCAATTTTCTTGAGTTCTGGGAACAAATGAGCTTGTACAGAGTACTCAAAATAAATAAGTTATCCTAATTTAGTCATTTTTAGCTAAGCTTTACTCAATTTTTTTGAGTTCTGGGAACTAATTCGATTTTACAGTGTAGTCTTTTTAGTAATTTGTCTTGTTTCTGCAAATATTTTCCTATTTGTGCTGTTTTTACAAATGTTCTTCTGTTTTTGAAAACAATAATTAAGAAAAGAAATATAATAACTGAGATCATATCAAAGTGCAATGTGTCATCAGTTTAGTTGGAATCTGTTTAGATCAACATAAAAAGAACTGTCTAAGGTTCGAAGGTAAAACTTTTTTTTTTTTTAAATGAAAAAAATCTGCATTTTATTATTTTGATGAAAAATCATTTGCAGTCAACATGGGAACAAAGGAACATCTTTAGGTTTTTGAAGATGTTTTACCTATCATCTTCTGTGAATAAGGTTTTCAAAAAAAACAAACAAACAAGCAAACACAAAACTACCATTACCTAGATGACTGAGAACCTACAGAGACATTTTGCAGTCAACCATTCTCTGAAATCATTGGCCCATATATACTTTTTGCTTTGCTAATACTGGGTTGCACACTATATTGCCAAAAGAAATAATTTGTCCATCCAAATCACTGAGGTTCAGGCATTCCATTCACTTCCAAGGCCACACGCATATACAGTAAAATCAAGCACCTAGGCATGTTCATTGTTCCTACCACACTTGTGAAAGAATGGGTCACTCTCAGGTAGCTCAGAGAATTTAAGCATAGTACTGTGATAGGATGCCATCTGTGCAACAAGTCCCACTGGTAAATTTTCTTGCTACTAAATATTCTGCAATCAGCTATTAGTGGTATTATAACAAAGTGGAAGTGACTGGGAATGACAGCAACTTAGGCACAAAGTAGTAGCCCATGTATGATCACAGAATGGGGTCAGTAAATGCTGAGGTGCACAGTATGCAGAGGTTTCCAACTTTTGCAAAGTCAATCCCTATAGACCTCCATACTTCATGTAGCCTTCAGAATAGCTCAAAAACAGTCAGTAGAGCGTTTAATGGAATGGGTTTCCAAGGACAAGCAGTTGCATCCAAGCCTTACATCACCAAGCTCAATGCCACTGGACTCCAGAAAAGTGCAAGTAAAGTTTGGTGGAGGGGTTGGTGTAGGGTTGTTATGCAGGAGTTGGGCTTGGCCCCTTAGATCTAGTGAAAGGAACTCTTAATGCTTCTGCATACCAAGACATTTTGGACAATTTCATGTTCCCAAATTTTTGTGATCAGTTTGAGGATGCCGCCTTCCTGTTCTAACATGACTTTGCATTAGACATGACTTTGCACCAGTGCGCAAAGCAAGCTTCATATAGACAGAAATGAGTGAGTTTGGTGTGGAACTTCATTGGCAACCCAAAAGATCACCTTTGGGGTGAATTAGAGCAGAAACTCTGAGCAAGACCTTTACGTCCAACATCAGTGCCTGATGGTCAAAACGTCCCATAAACACACTCCTAAACCTTGTCAAAAGGCTTCCCTGAAAAGTTGAAGCTGTTAGAGCTGCAAAGCGTCATACATCATATTAAACCTTATGGATTAAGAATGGTTCAATCAATCAGTTCAATTCATATGTGTAAGAAGGCAGATAAGCAAATACTTTGGGTAATATAATGTCTATCAGGTCTACCTGTGTACCTACCTGAGGACTCATGAGTGTGAAACAACATCTAAATGATGTTTTGATGCATGCTCAATCATCCAGGTAAATAAATCCCATTCTGATTCTATTCATCTGGATGTAGTGTTTTCAATGGGAGAAACGTCTAAGTGACAGACAGTTGTCCAAGAAACATTAAGAAAAGTGTCCAATAGCCAAAGAACAATTTTAATTTGGGCAATCTTGGAGTTAAATTAATAGTGAGGACTGGCAATTGTTTCCACAGTGTTCTAAAAGGTACAGTAGAAGTGCTACAGTAGAAATCAGTCAGTGTATTTATTAAAAATATTTATAGCTATTATTTTATTACCAGTGGCAACACCATGGTTGGTGTTGTTTTCACCTTGCATGACTGTGTTTGCATTGTAGAAAAATGTAGTCCTGGGGACCCCTATTGATGCTGAGACAACCGCAAAGTTGGTTTTGAGTACTTTTCAAAAGCTGCATGTCTGTCTTTCAGTGGACAGATTAGTCAGTGCACTCACGCTGCAAAGATACAGTCATGAAACTTTGTAGGTGTGTAGCTGAGATCTGACCCAGATTGGGCCGCATACAGACCACTTTGATCTTAACTGGGCTCAACCAGTGAAACTCCCCTTTCTGTCAGTGTGAAAAAGGTACACATTTTACTGTTTTTCTAAGTGATAAACAAAATGCTGCAACAATGCTGCTCTTTAATCATTTGCTGTTTTATCTGCTTGGTGGTTGTTGAAATGGTTTATTTGGTCTTTTGACTAATGTACTGACTGAATTTCATCATCAGTAGTACAATAGTGAACCGTGTTACTGATAGAATGACGTCTTCATTACATAGGAATGCTTCTTCCCTGCTAAATTATTCATGGTACGACTTCTTGTAGCGAAATCACATGCTATAATATTAACGATCTAAAACATACCAAAGCCTCTGTAACATTAGCTTTCATTTTAGGTTTTTTCAGACATTCATTCAATATATTCAAGTAACCTCAGCGGAAGATGTTACATGAAGAGGATGTGGGACCTATGGAATCTTCGATACCCAGCATCCAGTCTGACAGTGAAAGAATTAGTAGCTCAGTGTTCCAGCATTCAAAAAAAAAGAAGAAGAAGGACCCGCTATCACAGCTGGAGATCGACGAGGTACAACACAAATGTGTTAAGGTTCAATGCAGGGGACTCAAACGCGGGACTCCTGAATCAGCTGAATTCAAGGGCTTATTAACAGAGTTCACCAAGGTGTATATACAGAGAGTGCGGGGTAGTGCTATATACAGAAATGTGAGGGACAGGTTCCAGGGAAATCCAAGGGGGGGAATCGCTCGCTCTCCAGCTCTCCACATACACGACGGCAGTCCTCTTCTTTCACACTTGACGCACAGATTCACACGGGAAGGGTAATCCAGGGGGTTTGCAGATAAGAAGACAGGAATGAGAACGATATTCATAGAAGACACTTGACTTATCTTTAGCTGAAGTTTGACTTTCACTGACGCGTGGCAGACAACGATCCAGCGAAGACCAGCAGTCACCTCCTGGCTTAAATGCCGTTCACCTTGATGGGCATCAGGTGTGTTCTTTTCTATGTGGGCCGAAGGCGTGAACCCACAATGAGTTCCGCCCCGGCAACAGAGAATCGGAGAGAAAGAGAGAGAGCACAAGAGAGAAAAAGACAGAAAAGGCCGATCAGCGTCACGCCGATCCCTCAGGCCGTGACAAAATGCAAGGGAGACAGGACAACAATTCAGGGGGAAGATATCATTGCCCCCACCTGAGATTTTGTACCAAGCCCCAGGTGTGATGGAAGAAGGAGCATTGAATGGAATAGAAACTAACCTGAAAGATGGAATCTTGGTGAAGATCGAAATTTGAACCCTGAGAAGGTGATAGGAAGTACAGAAAACTGCCCATACTTTAGGCCTTGGAAACCTCCAGGCAAAGACTCACAGCCTTGGCCAGATGATTCAAGAGGTATACCAGAGACATGGAAGGCAGGAGAATAAACCAGCTGGACTCCATGGAACCATCCAAGCTGTACGCTCAGTGGCAGGGGAACAGTATGAGAACAGCACATCCAAGGCTAGAGATGGAACTGGAAGAGTGCATGGGAGAAGGGCGCAACGCATAAAGTCAATGCTCATTGGCTAGTGCATCTAACAATAGCTCATGGCAACCTCCGTGAATATGGTCCAGTAACATCACAGTGGAAAACATCCAAGAAAGGGTCTCCAGTATGAAGAGCTGGACAGAACTAGGCCCCAACATGATTCAGGCCTAGCTAAAGAAGCTGACTGCACTCCATGAGTATCTGGCAGCACAAATGAATCAGCTGCTAATCAACGAGAGATACCCAGAATAGCTAACTGTAGGCTGGACAGTCCTGATCCCCAGAAAGGACTTGTCCCATCTAACTACCAGCCAATAACCTGCCTCAGTACCAGGTGGAAGCTTCTGTCAGGCATCATAGTGGCTAAGATTAACAGGCACATGGTTCAATAGATGAGCGGGGCACAGAAAGAAATAGGCAGGGATACCAGAAGAGTGAAACACCAGCTACTGGTAGATGGAACATTTGCCTGAAGCACCTCAGTGAGATCATTGACAGGAATGGCTATGGATACCGACTATGAAATGGAGCAATCATGAGCAACCTCCTCTACATGGATAACATCAAGCTGTATGCGAAGAGTGAATGAGACATTGATTCACTGATCCACACCACAAGGATATACAATGACGATATTGGTATGTCGTTTGGACTGGAGAAGTGTAGTTGGATGGTAACAAAGAGGGGGAAGGTAGTCAGAACTAATTGGACTGCATTACCAGAAGGCATCATTGCACACATTGAGAACAGCTACAAGCACTTAGGAATCCCACAGGCAAACAGGAACTAAGAACAGGCTGCTAGAAAAGCTTCAACCACCAAATACCTGCAAAGGGTCAGGCAGCAGGTACCCTGCTGGGATAATA